GCGAAATCATGTTTTGATCAGCATATAGTGATTGTGTGACTAAAAAAAATAAAATCAGTGGTTGTCATTGATGTCAAAACACTGTAAAATGATTTTTCTAAGTTATTAATTAATATTTTTGGACTTTTTTGTTGAAAATTAACATAAATAAATAGTTATTTATTTTTGACACATTTGTTGATATTTATTTATGTCCCGTCTTTTGGAAATAATGTTTATTTTTTATTTTTGGACGTTTTTTTTTCTTAATATTTATTCATTATTTTACTTTTTAAAAAATTTTTTTTTTAAAGTAGTTATTTTTACTTTTGGACACTTTTTTTAGTTTTTTTTTTACATGTTTTTTATTGGAAATTATTTTTTATTTTTGATCTGAGTTTTTCTACTTCAGAATTTCAATTCAGTGTCGCTTGGCATTTCTTTGTGAAATTTATTTGGAATTTAAAATCCAAATATATTGATGATCTGTGTTGTAAATAGACAAACTCAATCAATGAAATCATATTTTGAGCAACAAATAATGATAACACACACACACACACAAAAACATGTTCAAAAATAAATAAATAGTGTCCATCAAAAATACGATCGAATAATTTGACAAAATAAATAAGTGTTAGTCATTTATGCCAAAACACACAAAATAAAATTCTTCGAAGTTGTAAATAAAAAACAGATTATTGACGTTTTTCTACTTCAAAACGTCATGTTATATTAATGCATTGCTTGGCATTTCTTTGTGAAATTTACTAGCAATTTTTGTAGAAATGTAAATTGCGTTGCGTTCACAAAGAGTGGGATGCAGTGATGGTGTTGTAAGGGACTCCGGCTCCTTCGAGATGCTGGTTTGAAGGAGAACGAGAGAGAACGAGGGTCCTCGGGGCTTCCAGGGCTTCAGGAGGTGATGCTAGTTTATGAGCGGCTCTGCAGCACGTTCACGCATTAAACTGCCACACACAAAATAAAATTCTTCGAAGTTGTAAATAAAAAACAGATTATTGACGTTTTTCTACTTCAAAACGTCATGTTATATTAATGCATTGCTTGGCATTTCTTTGTGAAATTTACTAGCAATTTTTGTAGAAATGTAAATTGCGTTGCGTTCACAAAGAGTGGGATGCAGTGATGGTGTTGTAAGGGACTCCGGCTCCTTCGAGATGCTGGTTTGAAGGAGAACGAGAGAGAACGAGGGTCCTCGGGGCCTTCCAGGGCTTCAGGAGGTGATGCTAGTTTATGAGCGGCTCTGCAGCACGTTCACGCATTAAACTGCCTGAGCTTGTGTTTCCCCAGGCCCATTACTTCTGCTGAGTTAGCAGCTAAACCCAACCAGAGATGGAAGCCGTTAGGAGCCGATGTGTAGAAAGAGAGAGAGAGAGAGAGAGAGAGGGAGGGAGAAAGAAATGGAGGCCTGAAGTTTTTGGCTGTGGAGGGCTCTCGATGCCAGAATGGAAAAATAGAAGGAAAAAGCTGTTCGTGATTTACTTCTGGAGAGAGCCGAGGGTTTCTTCAGTGCCGTGGAGCGTGTGAGACGGCTGCAGCTGTTTTACAGCAGTTCAGTTTCACCGTTAAGCTCTGAACCCACGCACACCTTTTACTCCGTCTTTAATTGATCAGTCAGTATTAATATAAGTGGAAAAACATGCTAAAAATAGATTTAATACCAGCATTACCAAAAGGTACCGTGTGTGCGTGTGTGTGTTTTTGACATGTTTTATTTTGGAAAATAAAATAAATAAATAGTTTATTTAAAAAACTTTTTTTTTTTTTTTACTTTTTTGTTAAATTGTATTATTTTTGACACATTTTTGTTGGATTATTTTTTATTTTGGAAATTATTTATTTTTGGACACTTTTTTTGGAATTTATAATTTTTTTAGGACATGTTTTTTATTAGAAATTATTTATTTTTATTTTTGGACATGTACTTTGTTGGAAATTGCTTATTTATGTTTATTTTTAGACTTTTTTGTAAAGTATTTAATATTATGTTTGGGACAAGTTTTTGTAGGAAATGATCTATCTATCTATCTATCTATCTATCTATCTATCTATCTATCTATCTATCTATCTATCTATCTATCTATCTATCTATCTATCTATCCACCTACCTATCTATCTATCTACCTACCTACCTATCTATCTATCTACCTACCTATCTACCCATCCATCCATCCATCCATCCACCTACCTATCTACCTACCTATCTACCCATCCATCCATCTATCCACCTACCTATCTACCCATCCATCCATCCATCCATCCATCCATCTACCTATCTACCTACCTATCTATCTATCTATCTACCTATCAATCTACCCATCCATCCATCCATCTACCTATCTACCTACCTATCTATCTACCCATCCACCCATCCACCCATCCATCCATCCATCCATCCATCCATCCATCCACCCATCCACCCATCCACCCATCTACCCATCCATCCATCCATCCATCCATCCATCCACCTACCTATCTACCTATCCATCCATCCATCCATCTGTCCATCTGGAAGTGTGTCTTGTTGATAGCATGGTATTAAGTATTATCATGGAAAATCTGTGTGATGGATTAAAAAAGTTAGGTAGTATTGAAACCAATCATCAAACTAGAGCAAATGTTAAACACACAGTTGTGTGTCTGGATACGGCAGATAGTGGAGCGACACTGAGAACACGTGAAGTGTGATAAACTGGAGTGTTAATAAGCTGAACACGAGTCTGAAGCGTCTGTCTTATCATAACAGAGAGAGTGTTATATCTCAATGTGTTTGTGTGTGAGGGAACGTCAGGTTTATCTCTGTGAAGCACTTCGTGTTGAATGTGACGAGTCCAGTGAGTTTAAAACATCTGTGGAGTGAAATCATGACGAGCTTCATTCGTGAGTCACCAGCAGAACTATTTCTGTGTAAATTAATCTGATTTTACACAGAAATCCCTGTTCCGTTCGGCTTCATGTTTACATCTTCAGTGGAGTAATTAAACCGTGTTTAGGTTTAAAGGAATAAAATAGCAGTTTGGCGCTTAAACTGATGCTAAAAAGCACAAAAATGCACCAGAAACGAAGGCTGGTGATGTTGTTGTATGCAGTGGACAGAGAGTATGCTGAGAGATTCCAGTAAAACGCTCGTCCGGAGCCAGAAACTCCACAAACGGACATGATTTGCTGTTGGAAATCAAAGGCGGTGCTCACTTTCCCTGCATTGCGAATAGATTAGCAGTCGTTGCTTTCCCCGCGGCCGTTCGCTGTTTGAGCTGATGGAGTCCAGATGGGGGTCGAGAGCCGCGGAGGCGTCTGGCAGCTTCAAAACCTTCAGCTGACTGATTCCCGAAACAACAACACGGCCTGAAACTCTCCAAACTACGCTTGACCTGATCTCTGAGAGTCTGTAGACTCTCAAACAAACGATTCCTGTGAATCGTCTCAGTGGTTTGAATCAGTCTAACAGAGGTTTTGCTCAATCCTGGATGGATGTTTGTGGATTGGATGTTTATGGTGGTGTTTATGGATGTATTTGAATAAAATCCCAAATCAACATAATAGACACTTAAAAATAAAGGTTCTTCATTGGCATCCGTGACCTACCTATCTATCTATCTACCTACCTATCTACCCATCCATCCATCCATCCATCCACCTACCTATCTACCTACCTATCTACCCATCCATCCATCCATCCATCCACCTACCTATCTACCTACCTATCTACCCATCCATCCATCCATCCATCCACCTACCTATCTACCTACCTATCTACCCATCCATCCATCCATCCATCCACCTACCTATCTACCTACCTATCTACCCATCCATCCATCCATCCATCCATCTACCTATCTACCTACCTATCTACCCATCCATCCATCCATCCATCCATCTACCTATCTACCTACCTATCTACCCATCCATCCATCCATCCATCCATCCATCCATCCATCCATCCATCCATCCATCCATCCATCCATCCATCCATCCATCCATCCATCCATCCATCCATCCATCCATCCATCCATCCATCCATCCATCCATCCATCCATCCATCCATCCATCCATCCATCCATCCATCCATCCATCCATCCATCCATCCATCCATCCATCCATCCATCCATCCATCCATCCATCCATCCATCCATCCATCCATCCATCCATCCATCCATCCATCCATCCATCCATCCATCCATCCATCCATCCATCCATCCACCTACCTATCTACCTATCCATCCATCCATCCATCTGTCCATCTGGAAGTGTGTCTTGTTGATAGCATGGTATTAAGTATTATCATGGAAAATCTGTGTGATGGATTAAAAAAGTTAGGTAGTATTGAAACCAATCATCAAACTAGAGCAAATGTTAAACACACAGTTGTGTGTCTGGATACGGCAGATAGTGGAGCGACACTGAGAACACGTGAAGTGTGATAAACTGGAGTGTTAATAAGCTGAACACGAGTCTGAAGCGTCTGTCTTATCATAACAGAGAGAGTGTTATATCTCAATGTGTTTGTGTGTGAGGGAACGTCAGGTTTATCTCTGTGAAGCACTTCGTGTTGAATGTGACGAGTCCAGTGAGTTTAAAACATCTGTGGAGTGAAATCATGACGAGCTTCATTCGTGAGTCACCAGCAGAACTATTTCTGTGTAAATTAATCTGATTTTACACAGAAATCCTGTTCCGTTCGGCTTCATGTTTACATCTTCAGTGGAGTAATTAAACCGTGTTTTGGTTTAAAGGAATAAAATAGCAGTTTGGCGCTTAAACTGATGCTAAAAAGCACAAAAATGCACCAGAAACGAAGGCTGGTGATGTTGTTGTATGCAGTGGACAGAGAGTATGCTGAGAGATTCCAGTAAAACGCTCGTCCGGAGCCAGAAACTCCACAAACGGACATGATTTGCTGTTGGAAATCAAAGGCGGTGCTCACTTTCCCTGCATTGCGAATAGATTAGCAGTCGTTGCTTTCCCCGCGGCCGTTCGCTGTTTGAGCTGATGGAGTCCAGATGGGGGTCGAGAGCCGTGGAGGCGTCTGGCAGCTTCAAAACCTTCAGCTGACTGATTCCCGAAACAACAACACGGCCTGAAACTCTCCAAACTACGCTTGACCTGATCTCTGAGAGTCTGTAGACTCTCAAACAAACGATTCCTGTGAATCGTCTCAGTGGTTTGAATCAGTCTAACAGAGGTTTTGCTCAATCCTGGATGGATGTTTGTGGATTGGATGTTTATGGTGGTGTTTATGGATGTATTTGAATAAAATCCCAAATCAACATAATAGACACTTAAAAATAAAGGTTCTTCATTGGCATCCGTGAAAGGGGTAGTTCATCCAAAATGTAAATTTTGTCATCATTTGCTCAGCCTCAAGTTGTAAGAGTTACCAAACCTGTAAGAGTTTCTGCTGAACACAAAAGAAGATATTTTGAAGAATGTTGGTAAATGAACAGTTGACGGTAGCCACTGATTTCCGTAGTATGGAAAAAATACTATGGAGGTCAATGGCTACCGTCAACCGCGTGCTTATACCAGCATTATTCAAAATATTTTTAGCATCCATAAACCCTTCCTCTATATTGCAAAAAGATTCTTTATATCATTAAAGAAAAAATGGTTATTTAAGAACTGTTCGCTGAAAGATTATTTGTGGGTAGTTGGATCGGTAAGATGGATAGATAGTTGAATAGATAGATGGGAAGATAGATAGATAGATGGATGGGTAGATAGTAGGGGTGGAACTGTTCAACTTACTCGCGGTCCGGTTCATATCACGGTTTTAGAGTCACGGTTTCGGTACAGTTTGGTATGTGCTATGTTCAGGCAAAAACTATACTGTCAAATAAAAATAAAGAAAATAAGAATAATCTAACTACAAGCAACAGCACAAATAAATACAATAAAGATACAAATAAAATAAACAGTGATTTTCAGTTTTACAGAAATTGAATAAAGTAATGAAATGTAAAACAGCATTGCATGTTTGACTGTATAAATTAAAGATTAATCTTTATTAAAGTTGCAAAAGCTATTCAATCAAGAGCAGTGAGTGATTTCCGTGTTGTTGCTGTTTGATTAATATTAACAAAGTGCTGTCACTTTAAGAGAATGCACTGATCCAGTGCACTGATACAGTACGTTCAGCCGGCTATGTCTGCTATAGGATACTTACCCAGACGGGCATTTTGACACAATTTTTGTGTGAATTTGTCCATTTAAACACAATACTTCACAGAAAGCTTCATAAATGCGCTCGTTCTGAGACGCACGCGCTTCAGATGAGCGACCACACAGATCTTCTCACTGCGCTCGCAAGTTGAACTGCGGTTCTAGTGTATACCGAACCGTGTGTAGAAAACTGTACGGTTTGATTTTTTACCGAAAACCATTGCACCCCTAATAGAAAGGTAGATGGATAGATAGTTAGATGGATGATGGATGGGTAGATGGATAGGTAGATGGATGGGTAGATGGATAGATAATTGGATGGATAGTTGGGTGGGTAGATGGATGGATAGTTGGATAGGTAGATGGATAGATAGATGGATAGTTGGATAGATAATTGGATGGGTAGATGGATAGGTAGATGGATGGGTAGATGGATGGATAGATGGATAGATAATTGGATGGGTAGATGGATAGATGGTTGGATAGATAATTGGATGGATAGTTGGATAGGTAGATGGATAGATAATTGGATGGATAGTTGGATAGGTAGATGGATAGATAGTTGGATAAATAATTGGATGGGTAGATGGATAGATGGATGGATAGATAGTTGGATAGATAATTGGATGGGTAGATGGATGGGTAGATGGATAGATAGATAGTTGGATGGATAGTTGGATAGGTAGATGGATAGATAATTGGATGGGTAGATGGATAGATAATTGGATGGGTAGTTGGATAGATAATTGGATGGGTAGATGGATGGGTAGATAATTGGATGGATAGTTGGATAGGTAGATGGATAGATAATTGGATGGGTAGATGGATGGGTAGATGGATAGATAATTGGATGGATAGTTGGATGGGTAGATGGATGGGTAGTTGAGAAACCAAAAATGGATCTTCTATGTCATAGAATGTCTATGTCTTCCCTTTTCCAACCTTTATTTTTAAGAGTGTTTTATAAAATGGTTGCAAAAGTAGTGTGTTGTGTTTATTATTTGGGTTTGACCAATTGGGTTTCTAACTGTGTTTAAATGATCGTATCATAGCATGAGTTTGTATGGCATTTTTAGTGTATTTCTAGTTTATTTTCTCCTCTTGTTCTCCAGGATTCAGTCGTGTGACAGATTCTCTTCAGAAACTGCATGTTGATGGCTGTGTTGTTCTTTGCAGGGATCTGAGCCGTAACAAGTTACGCACGTTTCCTGAAGCGCTGCTCGCCAGCCTGCCGCAGCTCAGCGAAATGTGAGTGTGCTTTTTTTGGGTTGTGTTTTATTTTCCCCTCAGATGTCACGGATGAAATCTACATGTGTGACCGTTTGGTTTTACGTTCACAGAAAACTGAGTAACAACGAGTTCGAGTCGATCCCGGATTTGGGCCCAAACGCTGGAAACCTCAGCAGTCTGATTCTGTGAGTATGAAATCATCGTTATCTTGGTTTACTTGCACTAAAGAGTGAAACTGTGATGCTTTTGAAACAGTGATCTGTCTGCTTTAGCGGCCCGATATGACAACTTTGAACTCAACCAATGGGGTGCATTTGGGGGCGGGGCTTTCTGTGTGACTGACCAATGGCTGTATTTCTGCATTCTGTCTGCTTCCACTAGTGGCACTTTTGAAAGATTAATGAAGTTGGATTTGAGGTCAAATAAAAAAATTAATAAAAAAAAGATACATGCAGGTGGATGAAAAATTCAGCTTTCTTCTGAAAACATCACTTGGTTCCCTTCTGTAGAGTTCAGTTTGTTCTGAAGGCATGAGGTTGTGTTTGAAAAGCATCATTGGTTGGATCTGCATGAGTCAAAACGGTTTGAATCTGGTTTTAATCTTCATGTGAAATATTCTTCATCGTCTCATTCATTATAGTCATATGAGTGATTATTTACAGTCCTCCAGCAGATTCCATCTTCTTGAAGATGTGACACTTAAAATGACAGAATAATGAAATATTAGTTTCCCTGGTCGAGAGTGTCTGGAGGGAATTTCTGAGCGTGTGTGTGTGTGTGTGTGTGTGTGTGTGTGTGGTATTTCCTCTTGGATTCAGAGCACAGTTTGGCAGCGTTTGGTTGGTCTGTTGTCTGTGACGGCGCCTGTGTGTAGTGTTATCTGAGTTTGAGCACCCTGTGTTAAATACAACACTGTCCAGATACATCCGACCGTAGCGCCGCTCTCAAACTAAAACTATGAGACTCTTTTAGCATCCAGAGCGCTTTAGTTTTTGTTGAATCTTGTGTTTAGAATGACATTGGGCCAGTTTTATGCTGGCTTGTCAAAATATTGTCTGATCATTTAAAATGGTGTGAAATTTGAGGGTCAAGATGGATAGTTGAATAGATGGAGAGATATATGGATGGATAAAAGGATAGTTGAATAGATAGATAGTTGGATAAATAGATAGATAGGTATTTGGATGGATAGATGGGTAGTTGGATGGATAGATGGGTAGATGAATAGATAGATAGGTAGTTGGATAGATAGATGGGTAGTTGAATAGATGGAGAGATATATGGATCGATGGATGGATAAATGGATAGTTGAATAGATAGATAGATAGTTGAATAAATAGATAGATGGTTAGTTGAATAGATAGATGGGTAGTTAGATGGATAGATAGACGGGTAGTTGAATAGATTGATAGATGGATAGTTGAATAGATAGATAGATACATGGATAGGTAGATGGGTTGTTGAATAAAAAGATGGTTAATTGGGTAGATGGATAGATGGATAAATGGTATTTGGATGGATGGATGAGTAATTGGATAGAGATGATGGATGGATAGTTGGATAGACAGATGAGTAGTTGGATATATAGACGGATAGTTGGATAGATAGTTGGTTGGATGGTTACTTGAATAAATGGATAGATAGATAGATAGATAGATTACGGTGGCCGAGAAGTGCAAAGCAAATCACAATTCTGAAAACAAAAGAACAAATTACAAATGCAAATGCAAGTCTAAAAAACAAAATAACAATTCAGAAAGCACAACAACAATTCAAAAAACATTATAACAAGTCAGAAAACACAATGAAAAATTCGAAAACAAAATAACATGTCACAAAACACAACGACAATTCAGACAAACCGGAAGAGGTAGGTATAGTTTGAGACAGCGCCATTGGTTTGGGATTACTCATCGCTGACTGGACGAGACATCTGTCAATCAAAAAATACGGAGTGTCTATTTAGATTTAGTTAAAAGTGGCTGTAGCACATCAGCTCCAGTGGCGCAGATGGATAAGTGCTAGTCGTTGGCATTTTGACGCGATCGACCCGGGTTCGATCCCGCCTTTTGCTGAACTTTTTTTTCTCCCTTTTCAAATCTCGTATCACATCGTAAAGGCATTTATTTTCAATAAAAATTAAGGAAAAAAATCAAAAAGTTGAAAATAAAGTATCAGGTAGGTGTAGGGAGGGCTTTATTGTACCAATAAGGTGGCATCCATTTAATAATTAAAATTATAATTTACACTCAATACGTTATTATTGCATACTGTTTTATAATGTACTACAATACTGATGCAGATAATTGCCACTATTTGCAACAAATAGTATACTTGATAGTAGAGTATCCTGCTATTTTAACAGTGTAAATAGGTATTTGCACTTAGTGTAAACAGCATATTGCTAAAAAATGCTGCTATTTTCACTTAGTGTAAATAGAATCCATTGCTAATACGAGATTTGAAAAGGTCAAGCGCTTATCCATCTGCGCCACTGGAGCTGATGTTTTACGGCCACTTTTAACAAAATCTAAATAGACACCCCGTATTTTTTATTGCAGAGTAAGGGCAATTCATACAATACATTTAAACTGAGCTACTTTAATACCATCTCAGAACTATCTACCAGGACTCTGCTGTTCTTCTCTGTATATGTTGATTGACAGATGTCTCGTCCAGTCAGCGGTGTAGAAAGAATGAACGAACGATAGATAGATAGATAGATAGATAGATAGATAGATAGATAGATAGATAGATAGATAGATAGATAGATAGATAGATAGATAGATAGATAGATAGAACGATGGAACGATAGATAGAACGACAGATAGATAGATAGATAGATAGCTAGATAGATGGATGGATGGATGGTCGTATAGTTGTATAGATGGATTGATATATGGATAGTTGGTTGGATGGGTAGATAGATAGATAGAGGAGCTGTTGCTCTGCAGTCTCAAGTGTCTTCTTGTTGGTTTCTAGGTTCCTGTGCGGTTGCTAGGGTGTTCTTGGTGATTGAAAAATTATGCTGTATTTCAGGGCATGCGGCGAACAGTGTAACACAGGCATTATCAAAGCTCAGTCCTTCAATCCGACGGTCAAATTTTCCAGCTAATTGCTCTTGAGCAGTGGCTTCATACGGCTCTTTATTGTTCAAGGCCACAAATTCCTGTGAAATGGCTGAATTAATTGAGGTGATGGCGAGTGAATTACTCCCAGCTGTGGAGCTGATGCTGTTTGTTTTTGGTGGGCTGAAGGGTCAAAGACGAGAGACGCTCAGTCTGAGAGACTGTTTGAATAAGAGGCAGGAGCTATACGATACCCCAGACCCCCGTACAGCTCTCTCTCCCTCTCTCTCTCTCTCTCTCTCTCTCTCGTTCGCTTGCTCTCGTATGCAACAGTAGAACTGTGTCAGCTGCATTTATACTGTGCAAGATATATTAGTGTGTTTATCAGCGAGCAGTACTGTTTTATTTGCACTTGAGAACAACAAAATTAGACGTAAGACTAATTCATTCATTATCAGTTTGTTGGTTTATATTAATTTAGTTCCAAACAAAAAGAGACAATAAGAAGCATCTCTTGGATAAATGAAATCGTGACATTTTCAATTCAATTCAATACAATTTACTGAGAATCCGAACATTTTCCATTGAATTTGCAGCTGAAATCGCTGTTAAGTGCTGATGTGAAAGGATTTGCTCATTAACGAAAAAAGAGACAATAAGAAGCATCTCTTGGATAAATGAAATCGTGAAATTTTCAATTCAATTCAATACAATTTACTGAGAATCCGAACATTTTCCATTGAATTTGCAGCTGAAATCGCTGTTAAGTGCTGATGTGAAAGGATTTGCTCATTAACGATGTGCAGCAGGATCTTTACAGCATGAGGAAAATATGTTGAAACTGAGTTGAAGTTAATGTGTTTCAGACCGTGTGTGAGCTCTTCTCTGCTCATCTCAGAGCCAACTTCACTTCTTTCCCTTTAGTCTCATCTCACACACACACACACTCGCGGTGTGGAAAGTGTCTGCGTTGTGAAATTCAGCGAGCGTCTAATAACTCTCATAACGCGCTGACATGCCAAACATTCACAGCGCTGCTTTCACAATCCTCTTTATGTGGAAACAATCTCACCGTGAGCGTTTTTCATATAATCTGTCATATATAATGCTCACGCGTGTTTGTCGTTTAGCTCGCGGCGCTAAAAATACCCTGGCATGCTCAGACTCTGATTAAACTAACGGTGTGTAACAACCTTATTTGCTGAAAATTGGTTGAACAAATTTGAGGTGTGCGGTAGAAAGACACAATGAGCCGCTTGTTTGTCTGAACTCTGAGGAGGAGGGAGAGATAAAACACACGCTCACACACACACTCACGCGCACGCACGCACACACACACACACTCACTCACTCACGCTCACACACACATGCTCACACACTCACACACTCACGCTCACACACACACGCTCACACACACACACTCTTACGCACGCACACACACACTCACTCACTCACACACTCACGCTCACACACACACGCTCACACACACACACTCTTACGCACGCACACACACACTCACTCACTCACACACTCACGCTCACACACACACGCTCACACACACACGCTCACACACACATGCTCACACACGCTCACACACACACACACGCTCACACTCACGCTCACACACACACGCTCACACACACACGCTCACACACACATGCTCACACACGCTCACACACACACACACGCTCACACTCACGCTCACACACACACGCTCACACACACACACGCTCACACACACACACACGCTCACACTCACGCTCACACACACACGCTCACACACACACACACTCTTACGCACACACTCGCGCTCACTCACACACGCACGCACGCACGCACACACACACACACACTCACGCGCACACACACACACTCATGCACTCACACACACACACACACACACTCACGCACAAACACATACTTATGCACTCACAGACGCACACACACACACACACAAACACATACTTATGCACTCACAGACGCATACACACACACACACACATACACACACACACACAAACACATACTTATGCACTCACAGACGCATACACACACA